GAACTAATCCAAGGCGAACGACTCACAGATCCTGTCCTTGTTGGTATGAGAGTAGCTGCCATTGCTGTAGGCCCCTTGCTACAGAGCTGTGTTCTCAATGTGAGCAACTTTAACATGGGTGGACTTCAAACCATTTTCTAAATTGTGCCCTTCTGAGAGAGTGTGCGAATAGCCCCCACTTCCGGAAGGGCACAAGGCAGCTTCCGTCAGAAGGCCAGATGGGTGTTCTTTCAAAAAAGCAATTTTGGAAAGCGCTAACCAGAGCATGGAAGGAGCAGGAAGCAGGTCCAAGGCCTCTGGGAGCCAGAGGGGTGGGATGAGGGGAAGATAGATGAGAGGGGGCAGATACAGTGTCCCTGCTGTCGATCAAAAGAGCTGGCAGACTGTCAAGCACACAGATTTGCATCACATGACTGCGGGGGTATTGCAATGACAGTAACTTTGTTCAGCAACGTCATAATTTCAAATAGTGAATGAATGAATGGAACAAGTCAAGGACTACATCCCTCCAGTATTTGAAGTATGGAGCACCTGATGTCTAAGCTCCAAGTTTATAGAGATCTTTTCATCCTCCTGCCATTATTTAACAGTTCTCTTCTTCCTTCTCCATCTCATCTCTACCATCTCTTTATTGGATATCCATACACAATTCACAGGGATGGTCTCATGCATCCCCAAGAGAAGGGTCAAAATTGGCAACAGCCACAAGTGGCATTCCTGGTACAAGCTTCACCATCTTAGTGCCCATACCCACAATGTGCACAGAGCTTGGTCTGTGACACCAGGCCATCTAGACAACTTTGCACAATCCCCATGTGGATGCCAAGAAATCAGTAAAAGCTCAGCTGCCAATTAGGTATTTATTATGGTGTTATTAATTGTTGCCCATTGTTACAATTTTGAGATGGGCAGCTATTTCTATTAAGATAAATAAATTCAAGTTTTGATTACTAGCTGCACCAGAGATATATTAGAGCTTTCAGATTTCATGTCAGGCCTGGTAATAAACTCCAATTCTCCAGACGCAAATGCTCATGGATGCAATGTAACTACGTATTTTATTTTATTGCAGACAAAGTAGAACTTAACACACCAACAGCTGTCTATAAGTCTACTGTTGCAGAGTTTAAACCATCCGTATTCTTCTTTTGCCACTTAAACTCCAAATCACAAATTTGATTTTCTCTTCCTAACTTTGAGTCTGGGCAATATTTGCTCAGGGTTTAAATAACAGTTTAGCCTGAAAACTGCTGATTCCTACCTCCACCACCTTCAGTCCTTTCACATTACTTTATGCTTTAGGATTACAACTCCCAGCTTTCTTGGAACAACTCTGCACCCTGAGAATTCTGGGAAGTGAAGTTTCAATGCAGATAGGGTTTTGGGTTAGGTTAGGTGAATCTGGGTTATGTCAGATCTAAGTTCTAGAATGCTTGCACAATTTTGACCTTGCAGATTTTTTTTTAAGAGGGAAGGAATAAATGTCACACACTTATTCAATTCTTTCTCTGTAAGACCTCATTTGGAGTAACTGCTTGAAGAACCAGCAAATGACTAAGAAAGTAATAATTTATTCTGAATCCCTCCTAGACAATTTTACAACGAGTCTGTCCATATACTAATAAAGGGAATGTCAGAGAAAGATTCATGTACATTTAAGAATGAACCAGATGCTCAGGAGCTTTGGCCACTGACTTGAGTTGGATCAGTCTCAAGGGACACAAATTGATACATGCTTTTCAGTTGGGCTTACCATCTTCATATATTTAAAAAAATAAGCCATGTGCCACTGACAAAATATGGACTTATTATTAGTTTATTGTGTTTTTCAACAGTGCCACCTGGTGGTGATTCATTTTCAAATTTGGCTATCCAGAGCAAACTCCAAATAAATTTCTTTAAATTGAGCCAAAGGACAATAAATGAGATGGAATCCAATTTTGTTACCTGGCTGTAACTGAGGATAATAATACAACTTCCCTTAATTAAAGTAATAGCAATGAACATCAGAAATGGTTATAAAATTTGCAGGAGGTGTTCTAGTTCAAACTCAGCTCTAGAACTTGCTGATTACACAAAGTGGTTGTGAAAAGGCAACAAGGATTTCCATCAGCTTGAATTTACTGAAAAAAGTGGAGTATTCAAAGTAATAAACATAGATTTATATTACTTGGTAAATCAGATATTATTGGCTGAAAACACAGCATGGGCATTGAAATAAGTATTGAGCTTTATGGAACACTATTCTATGAACAGAGGCTGTCCAGTGTCGGAGAACAAAAAAGCAACATCCTCTGAGCAAAGTGATAATTCAGGATCAGAGATGTACTTTCTGTTGCCCTAGAGCAGACATGTCAAACACAAGTCCTGGGGGCTGGATGCGGTCCACAAAGTGGTTTCATGTGGCCCACAAAGCCATCCTGGAAACAGTGAGGGAACAGCCCCTGCTGCCTTGGCCCTGTCCCAGGCCGGCCGGGAACCAATGTACAATTTTGTGGTGGGCATCTATGCTGAAACACATTCATTCTTGGCTCCAAAAGGCTGTCTAGAAACAGCGAGGAACCATCCCCTGCCGTGTCAGCCTCCTGGGTGTATGCTGGGGAGGTTCCACCCTTTGTGAGGAATGAAGAAATGGACCATGCCTTGGCCTTGCCCCAGTCCCATCCCCTTCTGCCAGAGACCCTCAGATCTGTCCTACTCCTGCCCAGGCCCCCACAGGCACCCTTGACACAAATAATGTAGAGCTGGCCATGCCCACCCAGTTGGCCACACCCACTCCATCCATGCCCACCCAGTAGGCTGCCCCCTGTCCCCCCCCCCCCGAGGGCAACTGCAATGCTGATGCGGCCCTCAATGAAATTGAGTTTGACACCCCTGCCCTAGGCATCTTAAAATCAAGAGAAAGTGAAAGTTGAAAGGATCCCTCAAGGTCATCTAGTCCAACTCTAGTGCAGAATCCACTAGACTAGAACATCTCTGACAAGCTTCTGACATCCAGCCTCCATTTGAAGACCTCTAGTGAAGGAGAACTCCGTTCCTATGGTTTCTTGTTTCTGTGGCTGAACAACTGTTACAATTGGGAAGTTCTTCCTGACATTTATCCACATTCATTCCACCATTCCTTAATTTTAACTCCCTGATTAGACTGCCTCTATGGTGGGTAATAAAGAATGTCTACTCCTTCTTCTGGGTGATGACCTTTCAGATCTTGATGGTGGAAAGACCTATTTCCATCCATCTGCCAGTAAAGGAGGCTTGGTTCCCCTCCTTTAATTTTCTGCTTCCTGCATGGTTGACATGATTAAGACATGGTTAAGGATAGAGTGGCTCAGTGGCTTGGTTCCATCTGTTGATAGACAGATTATGTCCCAATGCTTGCTTTCCTCTTCTCTCCAGGCTCCTATTTCTTCTTATGTGTCATCTGTTAAATGACAAACCTGCAAGCAATAACTGTTGTATATTTCTAATATCTAGTCAGGCTTAGAATGTGTGGGTACCTTACTGTCATCTAATAAAAGTAAGAGGATCTTATGATGATCCCAATCTAGTTGTGCTCCATTGATGCTAATACTTCTAGAAGTTGATACAAAGACACATGTCTAGTAAGAGATACCCATTCAATGATAACAATTACTGGATTGGCTTGCCTCCAGGTCTTGTGGCTGCTCCTTCACTGGAGGTTTTAAAGAAAAGATGGACAGCCAATTGTTCAGATTGGTATAAAGTGTCCTGCTTGAGCAGAGGTTGGACTAGAACAGAGGTCCCTAACCTTTCGGGCACCAGGGACCGGTTCCGCGGAGACAGGTTTTTCCATGGACAGGAGGGGGTATGGTTTTGTGTGCTGCCTGCATCCCATGGATAGGGCTTTGCTTGTTTGTGAGGACAGGTTGCTGGAATGCCGTGACCTGGTACCGGTCCACAGACTGGGGGTTGGGGACCCCCAGACTAGAAGACCTCCAAGGTCCCTTCCAACTCTTTTGTTGCATAATTCAGTGAAGCATGAATGAGGACTTCCACAGAGGAGAAGACCCATCAGGATCTGAGTCCCTACCTGCCTTGGCTCTTTTATGACTCGTGGACTTCAACTCCCAGAATTCCTGAGCCAGTATGGCTGGCTCAGGAATTCTGGGAGTTGAGGTCCATTGGCTCAGGAATTCTGGGAGTTGAGGTCCATGAGTCATAAAAGAGCCAAGGTTGCTACCCCTGCGCTTAGCACATCGCAGATGCTGGAAAAGGAACCCCCCCTTTTTTTGCACAATTCTTACACAAAATTGCAAAAAGGCTAGGGAATCGCCTCGTGAAATATTCCTGTTTTTTTTTTCTTCCCATTTTTTTTTAAACCAAACCCTTCTTTTCCAATGTCGGGTGGTCTTTCTCTGCAGCATGAACTTTCTTTTTCCCCCATCCTCACAGCCTTCGCATTTCCTCCCTTCTGATCTTGCAAAGCTGGGCAGGATCAAGGAAGCAGAGGCGACGGGCACGCAGCCATTCCGATGCATTAAGCGCTGATCACCAGCAATCCCCCGGCTTTAGCAGACGGAAAGCATCGGAAACCTGGATTTTCTACCCAACGTGGAGCAGAAATCCTTTTACAACCTACGCTTGTAATACGAGGGGGGAGGAGGCGGGGGGAGGGAGGGAGGGAGGGAGGGGGAGCGAGCCAGAGCAGGGGAGGGCTTTGAAAGGACCGGCCTCACTTTCCCCTCTACAACACGAGGAGGAAATCAGGTGGTGATAACATGCGTGTATTGCATTTCTTGACGAATGTTTGTAATTAACTCTAATTGAATTCATTCGTTTCCCCTCGCCCTGGCTCCTGGAGCCTTACACGCTGCTGCTGGGCAGTTCCCCCCACCCTCTCTCTCTTTTTCCTCTCTCTCCTCCTTCCTCTCTTCCTCTTCTTCTTTCCCCCCCCCCCTTTTGCAGGAGTTCCCTCCTCCCTCCCCTCCCTCTTTCCACCCTATTAAAACAACCTCCAAGCCTCACTTGTTTTAAAAAGACCCCCTTAAGTTGGAGGAGGCACAGAACCGGCCGTCTGGGAAAGAGGGAGGTAACCAGGGGCAGGGAGAGAAGAGGAGGAGTAGGAGGAAGAAGACCAACAGGGCAAGAAGCAAAAGGCGCTGAGCGACGCCTGGAAAATATTCGCCGCCGCCGCGGCTGGTGGACCCTCGAAATAGACGCTCCATTCAGTCCGTGGCCGCAAGAGCCGCGAAGTTCTCCAGATGCTGCGCCGGCCTCAACTTTCCGCCAACTTTCTCTCCGGGCGCCTGGAGGACTTCGGCGCCAAGAGGAACCGGCCCGCCGCTTAATCTCCGCGCAGGACCCCCTTTGGCGAGGCGCTGGAGAGCTCCCGAGGTTGTGGGAAGAGGGATCCTCGCGCGGCTGAGAAAGGCACCCGCTGGCCCTTTTCCATGGTGGGGAGGCGAGCTGCGGCCAGCCTCGCCAGAACTCTCCCGGGAGAGTAAGTAACAGCGGTTATTACTTCGATCGGGGAGGTTGAGAGGGTGGAGGGTAGAGGGGGGGGGGAAGGCAAAAGCGCCTCAGCTGCAAAAGCGCGCCGTCGGATGGGCCGTAAGATCCGGAAAGGTGGCAAGGTGAGTGGATCCCCGCACCGTCGTTTTAGCTCTTAAGTTTTGAGTTCTTCCGCTGGGGGAGGAAGGAGAGGGCGAAGATCTGGGAATAGGGGAGCCAAGGAAGTTTCCCCCCCCTCCCCTCCAAGCGAGACCTTCCCGGTGGGGTCAGGAGTATCAGCGCCGTCGAGGCAAGGGAACAAGCGGAGCCCTGCCCCGAGGAACGCCGCATCTCGTCCGCTTTCAAGACCTTGAGCGCGGCTGCTGCTCAATTACCTGCGGTGGCTCCCCCAGGTAACTGATCTCTTGAAAGTTAAGCCATTTGCTTTTCTTTTTCCTTTTTTTTTTCCCGGGAGTAGCTAGGCAAGCTCCCAGTTTAAATGGAGATACTTGCATTCCTTCCATTTGCACGGATGCGAGGCTTAACCGCGCACCGACCGCTTGTTAGGGCGGGGATCCGAGAAGGATGAAGGCCCGCGTAGGTTTGAGAAGACTTCGCGAGCTCAGAAAAGCTGCCTTGCTGGGAGTTCGTGCTCCCAGGATCTTGCTGCCCTACCTGTAGCAGCACCTGACCACGAAAACGCTCACCGCTTCTCTATCCTGCTGTCTTCCTAATATATGTATGCGTGTACCTAGGTCAGGGGTAGGCAGCCTCGGCTGTTTTATGACTCATGGACTTCAACTCCCAGAATTCCCGAGTCAGCTATGCTGACTCGGGAATTCTGGGAGTTGAAGTCCATGAGTCATAAAAGAGCCGAGGTTGCCTACCCATGACCTAGAACCTCTTCCGATTTCTCTCTCTCTCTCTCTCTCTCTCTCTCTCTCTCTCTCTCTCTCTCTCTCTCTCTCTCTCTCTCTCTCTCTTCTCTCTCTCTCTCTCTCTCTCTCTCTCTCTCTCTCTCTCTCCCTCCCTCTCTCTCTCCCTCCCTCCCTCCCTCCCTCCCTCTTTTGGCTAAAGCCACCGCTGCGATCTTAAGGCGAGTGTCCCGAGATTGGGCAGGGCAGACCCGCCACTGAGAGCGGAGCAGCTGTGTTTCTTCCTGCCTTACGGTATAGATTCGCTTTCGGAGGCTTGGGGAAACCTTGATCCGCTTCCAAGGAGGAGGCAATTTCCCGGAAGGCGGTTAATTCCTGCTCCCCTCCCCTCCGAGCGCCAGAGACATACACTGCCGCTATTTAGTCGCTTGTAAAAGCATGAAGCGTGATTTCGACCCCGCCCACCCCATTTCTCCCCCTTTCCAATGAGGTAGGTGGGTGGGTGGGTGGGTGGGTGGGGAGGGGGATGGTGAATGGGCGGGGTCAGGGCGCCCGGATCCCAGATGCTCAGAAAGAAATTGCGATGTCTCCTTAATGCACGCTCAGAGGCCAGGCAGCAGATTGTACGGCAGAGGTTGGCTCTGTCGAAAAGTGGGACCTCCAGAGCAGTGTTTCTCAACCTTGACAATTTTAAGGCATGTGGACTTCAACTCCCAGAATTCCACAGCCAGCAATGCTGGCTGTGGAATTCTGGGAGTTGAAGTCCACATGCCTTAAAATTGTCAAAGTTGAGAAACACTGCTCTAGAGCGCTCCCGTCTTCACACGTAGCCCACATTCACGCGTAAAGGCGCCCTGCGGTCGAGCTAGGGCGGTTAGCGACTGCGTGCCGTGTTCTTGGCCCGCCTCTACTCTCGGGTGCGGGAAGGATCGGGTGCCTGCTAGATCTCCTGTCAGCCGGGACTTTCGGCTTGCTTTCAAATTCGGGCAACGGCGCTTCTCAGAAGATGCACGCGGGAGCGCGCCCCGTGGCTAACGATGCTGCGCCGAGATGCAGAGGTGGAGCGGCGGGCGCGCGACACTATTGCACGCTCCCGTGGTCCGGGTCTGGAAGAAGGGCGTTGTGGCTGATGGGAATTGGGGGGGAGGGAGAAAGGGACGGAGGGGGTACCCGTTTCCAACTTGGAAGAGGTGAAAAGGCTGCAGGGGTGAGGAGACAGGAGGATATATCCGCAGGACTTGCTTGGGAAGTGTAGGTCGCCAGCTTCCCCCCCCCCCGTTATAGCAAAGTCGAGGGAGTCTTGGGTCAGCTGGGAGACAAGGCCCATTTATTTTGCACCCACGCACCACGGAAAGCCCCGGGATTCGGCTTGGGACTCGGGGATCCGTGGAAACAGTTCCGGTCCTTCAAGTACCGCGCGCGCATTCGCAGTAGGGTTGGAGCTGTCCCGGCGGCGTTGAGTTCAACCGGAGCGGTGGGGAGGGGGGGGAATGTCCCTGGGGGGTGGAAGGGGAAGCGACGTGGCAGCCGCTCAGAAGAAGCTCCGCTCGCCCGGGTAGCCGCGCTCGCTCTCCTCCCCCTCCCGAGCAGGGGAGGGCGGACCAGAGCGCAGCTTAAGAGAGAGGCGAGCTGGCCCGCTGGGCTCCGCGATGCTTATCTGCATCCTCTGGATGGGAGCCACTTTATTGTTCCAGTCCCACCCACCGCTCCGGAAAAGCTGGGCCGGGGCGCCCTTCCTTCGGGCCACGCGGCGCGATGAAGCCTCGGGTGGGTGCGTGAGCGCACGTGAGAGCTGGCAAAGGGCGCTGGGGTCCCGCTTTCCACGGAGTTTCTCCCGGGAGGTGCATAGCGGTTGGGGGATCGCTCGGACCCGTTCTGCCCTTGTTTGAGCGGCGGCCTTAAACGCTTTCCCGCTTTCCCCGCTTTCTTTTCTGGGGAGAAATGAAGGAAAGGAAAGGATAAAGTGTTTGAAAAGTCCCGAAAAGTTTTTTTTTTTTTTTTTAAGGAAAAGAAAAAAAATCCTGTTGGATCCCACGTGGGGGAGGGAGAGAGAGGGAGAGAGAGAGAGAGAGAGAGAGAGAGAGAGAGAGAGAGAGAGAGAGAGAGAGAATAAATAAATAATAAATAAAACCCTGGGAATGCCGTTGATGAGCTCATTGAATGGAACTTCCCGCCTCCCTTTATGACCTAATGCCGCACCCTCTCCTGATTGGCTCCGGTCATGTGGAAGGGGTTCCCCGACAGAAGCAGAAGGCTGAAGTTTTCAAAAGAGCTTTTAGTGGGAACTGAAAAGTCCTTTCTTTCAGCGGGCCGAGTAGAAAGTTGCAGGAAATAATAGGAACTTTGTAGCCGGAGCAGTTTTCGTAGGGAAAAAAAAAAAAAAGGCTTTCCCATTGAAGTAACGGTTTATAAGGAAGGGTGTACGCCATCCATGGGTTTTTCAGATGCACAAGAAGATTAAAAAGAGATTTATCAGGGCCGCATTATTAGAAAAGGAATTCTTTGGAGCTGAATGAGCCTTGCTCTTCATTTGGCTGGCCGGTGTCTACAATTCTCTGTTTAGATTCTGAAATCAAATGATCGTTTCTTGCAATTTAAAGTATTTGGGAAGAAGACTGCAGCAAACTAAAGCAGTAGACTTGAACTGATTGTTCAGAATCTCACTGGGAATAATGGATTTTCTAGTTTATTATTTTATTATTCATCCAAGTATATTGATTAATGTACTTGAGCGAAGAATATTTTAGCGGGGGAAAGCAGAATTGTTGGTTCCCATTAGTTGTGTTTTGGTAACACTATTAAAGGGAAATAGTAACTTTTTTTCAGTGACGTACAAATAGTCCCCAACTTACAACCATTTGTTTAGTGACCATTCAAAATTACAACGGCACTGGAAAAAAAAGTGACTTATAACCATTTTTCACACTTATGACTATTGCAGCATCCCCATGGTGATGATCAAAATTCGGATGCTTGACAACTGACTCATATTTATGACAGCATCTCAGAGTCAGGTGATCACTTTTTTTTTGTGACCTGGCAAGCAAAAGTCAATGGGGAAGCCAGATTCACTTAACAACCTTGTTACTAATTTAACAACTGCAGTGATTCACTAAATAACTGTGGCAAGGAAGGTTGTAAAATGGGGCAAAGCCCAATTAACAAATGTCTTGTGTAGCAACAGAAGCCTTGGGTTCAATTGTAGCTGTAAGTCGAGGACTATATGTAGTTCTAACTCTCCCCTGAATGACCTTTGACATTACATGTATTTGGCAAATTGCAATTTTCCCCCTAAAGCATCTCTTTTCAAAATAAAGTTTATTTGCATTTCCAGTTTAAAGTTATGTGCATTTCTGTGCAGCCAGACTGGCATTGTCTTCACTTTCACACTTTGACACTCCCAAAAATGAGCTTTGAGTAAAAAAAAAAAGAGAGAGAGAGAGAGAGAGAGAGAGAGAGAGAGAGAGAGAGAGAGAGAGAGAGAGAGAGAGAATTCTGAGGAATTCTGGGAGTTGAAGTCCACAAGTCCTAAAAGGGCCAAGTCTGAAGTCCCCTGCCATAGAGCTTCCTTCTCATCAACTTGTCTATTCCTTGCTTGGAAATTACCAGTAGCTCTGTCCCTTGCTTGGAAATTAGCAGTATTCCAGTATTTGAGGAGCTGCCACAAAGAAAGGGGGGTCAACTTATTTTCCAAAGCAAAATAAGTGACAATGGATGGAAACTAATTAAGAAGAGAAGCAACCTGGAATTAAGGAGAAACTTGCCAACAGTGAGAACACTTAACCAGTGGAACAGAAGTTGTAGGTGCTTCATCACTGGAGGTTTTTAAAAAGAGATTGGACAGCCACTTGTCTCAAATTGTATAGTCTCCTGCTTGAGCAGGGGGTTGGACTAGAAGATCTCCAAGGTTCCTTCCAACTCTATTCTGATTATGATTAACAATCACCACCATCAAGTTGAAAGATTTAAAACTGGTCCACAAGAACCAGACTAAATTGGTTTGATAATATGCCTTGGTTTGCTTCATGTTAGTACAAGGATGAGGATGGTTCCTAATTACCCACAATCTATCAATTGGTTGTCACAGGATTTAGCACTTCTGAATAGATCATTCTTCCCAACCATCTAGGATAGC